TCAACACTTTAGAAATTGATAATGATCTCAAAGAAACTCTTAGTAAGTTACTTCTTCATTCTGATTCTGAAGAAGAAGGAGTGCCAATAGAAGGGCTTGAAGCCCTGGAAAATGAGAGTAGCTCTTCTGATAGTGAACATTGTGAACCTTGTAAAAATGGTTTAACCTGTGAGAAGGAGGATAGCTCCGACCCAGAAGAAGGGAATAACCTTTATCAAATTATTTCACAATTTCAAGAAATTAATGTTCTTGATAATGATAATCTCATAGAGATTTTAAGATCTGTTAAAGATCCTGAAATTCGATCAAAAATCCTTGATCTTTTAGGAGAAAAAGATCCTCCAAGCAAACCTGATGATTTTATTCAAAAATCTTTAGATCCATATACTATGGCTGAAGTAAAAAGAATGTTAAAACAAAAGTAAGTTGATAAAACCCCAACTAATGCTAATGATTTAATAATTGAGATTTCTAATCTCAAAAATGAGATCAAAAGTTTGAAAAGTTTTAATGAAAACCTTGAAGATAGAGTTTTTAAATTGGAAAGTTTTAATAAAGGAAAACAACCCCTTATTAATTTTGATTACCAAAATATTCTTCATGAGGATGATAGTTTATTAGGAACTTTAGAGATGGTAACTTCTCAGAAATGGTTTATAAAAATCTCTCTTCTTATTGTCATAATTATAAGAAAAACTTTATAGCACTTGTTGATAGTGGTGCAGATTTAAATTGCATACAGGAAGGAATCATTTCTACAAAATACTTTCATAAAACAACTCATTCATTAAGTTCTGCATATGGTCAGAAAATGGAAATTAATTTTAAGATTCCAAAAGCGTTTAGTTGCAAGAATAAAGTTTGCATCCCCACTAGTTTTTTACTAGTAAAAAATATCACTAACCAAGTTATACTTGGAACCCATTTTTTAAAGAAAATCTTTCCAATTAAAAGAATTGATGAACAAGGTTTTATAGGAACTTTTGATGGCAAATAAATTAATTTTCATTTCATTACTGAACCATTTACTAGAATTCTTAATCAAATAAAAGATTCTTTTATAAAGAATAAAGAAAATCAAATTAATTTTCTTAAACAAGAGATAAGTATTTTAAATGTTTATGAAACTCTTCAAAATCCTAAATTACAGGATAAGATAAAACTTCTTAATAATCAGTTTTCTTTACAAATCTGTAATGATCATCCAAATGCTTTTTGGGATAGAAAAAAACATATTGTCTCACTTCCTTATGAGGATAATTTTGATGAGAAAAAAATACCGACTAAAGCCAGACCTTGTCAAATGAATAAGGATTATCTTGAGCTATGCAAAAAAAGAGATTGAAACTTTGCAGAATAAAGGGTTAATAAGACCCTCTAAATCTCCATGGTTTTGCACAGCTTTCTATGTTAATAAACATGCTGAGCAAGAAAGAGGTGTTCCCAGGTTAGTCATTAACTATAAACCTTTGAATACTGCTTTAAAATGGATTAGATACCCGATCCCTAATAAGAAGGATTTACTTGATAGACTTCATGATGCCTTGATTTTTTCAAAATTTGATTTAAAATCTGGATATTGGCAAATCCAAATTTATGAAAAAGATGTTTATAAAAAAAACTTTTAATGTTCCATTTGGTCAATATGAATGGAAAGTTATGCCTTTTGGTCCGAAGAATGCCCCTTCAGAATTTCAAAATATTATGAATGATATTTTTAATCCTTATAGTGATTTTATCATTGTTTATATCGATGATATTTTGGTATTTTCTAAAAATATTGAAACCCATTTTAAACACTTGGATATTTTCAAGAAAATTGTTACTCAAAAAGGTTTAGTTATATCTAAACCTAAAATGCAACTTTTTCAATCACAAGTTAGATTTCTTGGTCCTAATATTGAAAAAGGGAAAATTATCCCTATTAATAGAAGTATTGAATTTGCCTCTAAATTCCCTGACCAGCTGACTGATAAAACTCAGCTTCAAAGATTCTTAGGTAGTTTAAATTATATATCCCCCTATATTAAAAATCTTGCTTAGGATACTGCTATCCTATATGATAGGCTTAAGACTGAGAATCATACTCAGGCTGTTCAGAAAATTAAGGACAAAGTCACTAATCTTCCTTGTCTCATGTTAGCTAACCCAAATTGGGAAAAAAATATTGAGACTGATGCCTCAGAAATAGGTTATGGAGGTATCCTTAAACAAGTTTCTCCAAATGATAAATTGATAAACAAGAATATCTTGTTAGATTCCATTCAGGAAAATGGAATAATAGTCAGAAGAATTATGCTACTATAGATAAGGATATTTTAGCTATTCTAAAGTGTGTTTTAAAATTCCAAGATGATTTATATAATCAGAAATTTATAATTAAGACAGATTGTCAAGCAGCAAAATATATGTTTAAAAAAGATTTTAAACATGATGTTTCTAAACAAATGTTTGAAAGGTGGCAAGCCCAATTAACCCCTTTTGATTTTGATGTAATTTATAAAAAAAGAACTGAAAATAATCTTCCTGACTTTTTAACCCGTGAATATTTACAATAATAAATGACTTTGATCAAAGATGGGTAACCAGGATGCATTCCTATGGCATGTCTATTTACAGGGAGCGAGATAATATTCTCGAAAGGCTTGATTGGCAAATGGACTATAGTCCAGATATTACTTCTTAATAAACCATTAATAGCTTGATCATTTTATATTTCCAGGATGAGCCACCGCGGATGGGGAAATTCCTCTAATAGAGGAAGAGAAGGAAGAACAATTGCCCAACATGGGAATCAAAGGCTCATATCCTCTTCAAGTAATACTTTAAAAGGAGGAGATGAACTTTTATTTAAAAAAATTATGGAATTCAAAGCAATGCATGGTAATACCAGTCAAAACAGCCCTTCTTATGCTAATGTTGTCCTGGAAGATGAGGTAGAATATGATGATTTTCCCTATGAGCAGAATACATGCAAGGAGGTAATATTACTCCTAGAAGATAAAGATCTTCGATGGAAAGGTGAAATATGGCACCTTATGAATAGATATCTTAATACGACATCATTTACTGCTGGTTCATACAAACAGCGAAATCATTATGAAAATATTCTAAAAGCTACTAGCTCCTGTGAATTTTCACACTTTTATCCAGGGAAAAATCAAGGTTGTAAAAAGCGGTAATCGGGTCCGAGTCGGTCAGGCACCGACTCACGATTAATCGGTGTGACGGTGATTAATCGGTGATAAATTGGAAATAAATCGATTTTTAAAATTTAATATAATATATTTCTAAATATTATTTATAAATACTCCAAACATATATAAAAAGATATTTAAACATAGTTATATCTCCATCATGTATATATCTAAATAACATAATAAAAGTTTAATAATTATAAGATCATAATACATAAATATCCTTATAAAATATAAATAAAAAAACAATTTTTTTGAATTTACATTTATTCTTAAACATTCCTGGCATACATCATTAGTTCTTTAACAATAACAATTAACATAAACAAAATAAGGCATAAACTCATATTTTCTTTTATTAAAATCCAACTTTTATTTTGAATTATAAAAAGAAAAAAAAAAAAAAAACTGATTTTTAACCGATTTTTGACCGATTTTTCCCACCGAGTTTGACCCGCCTTAAAGGTTTGACCGCCTCAGACCGCCTAAAACCGGCTCACAGGCAAAAAACCGATTTTTCAAACCTTTACACTAAAATCGTAAAGGTTTTGGACCGCCTCCGCCTCGGAGACCGATTAATCGGCCGCCTCGGCCGATTTTTAGAACACTGGGAAAAATACACAAGCTTATAGCTTCAACAAAGTAATCATTAAGCAGATAATATCTGCAGAAGAATGGGGGTTAAGTATCCTAAGAGAAAAAGAATATTTCAGACCTGACCAAAAAATCCAGGTTAAGTACAATTATTGGGATTATGTCGAAGCATTTAATAAAGTTTTTTATATGAGAACCCAATAAGAAAACATAATTGGTTCTTCAAAATTTGTCCTAATGTTTATAAAAAGGATATTCCAAATTGGTTATACCAATGGTGGCTATCTTTTGACCCGACTGTAAAAATTTTACCAGAACCTTATAAAGGTCTCTATGCAGAATGGGTGAAAATTTCACCAACTCATATTGAAGTTGAACACACTAATAAGTGGATTGAGGGAATGCCCTTTTTACACTTCATTATTGAGTTTGGTATTCCATGGATCTGGAAATGGGAACCAGAGTTGGGTCATACCCCACAAAATATACCATGTATAAAAAGGGCAACTTACACCAAATTTTGGAAAAGAATGCTCAGGAAAAATGAGCATGGTGTCATTGAAGGACAAGAAACTATTGATAAGATGCAGGGTCATATCCAAGAATATAAAGAACAAATCCAGTTGAAGCAACAAAGGGAAGCCCCCAGCCCGTTTCAACATCTCTCAAGGAAACTAAACATCCACAAATGACAGATGACTGACAAAGAAGTAATTGCTTCTTACATGGAAGAAGTCAAAAAAAGACTTGGTAAGAAATTTTGGAATTGAATATCATTCTGACATTTCAATGGCCACCTCTTCATATGATGATGAAGAATATTGCAATCCTGGTGAATCACAAGATCCATATGGAAACGGAACAGATATTTCAATTGATGATATCATCAATAATGTGAAACAATTCATTACGGAACAAATTCAAAGTTCCACTACAGCCAAAGGGAAAGAGAGAATGGAGAAATAATTGCATTCGTGTCCCTACCACCTTTCATAATGGTTTAGGGAATCTTCTTTTTCAAAAAAGTCACTTTAATAAAGCAAATGCTTTTATAAAGCAATGTATGATTTGGTCTTCTTTTATTTGTTTTTATCGTTTGTTTTGATACTTCCCTCCTCTATTTTAGGGAGCTCTTTCCTTGTTCAGAGAAGGCATAAGTTTAGTAATTCAGAATTCTCTAATAAATTTTATTTTTAAATTTCCGGCAAAGTTTAAAGTTTTCAGTATCATACTTGTGGGCTCTTAAGTAAGTTCTTACTCTTCTTTTTCATTCTTGTTTTGTATTTTAAATTTTAATTTATGTATTGCCGCCTATATGGCCGGCTAAGTTTTTGTTGGATAATATCATGATACTAAGATCTGATAGCATGGCATAAAAAAAAAAAGTACCATGGACAAAAATTATGATGTCTCGTATGGTTTGAATTAAAAACAGGCAGGGATTAGGTTTAACACCGAAGTCAGGATTCGCCCACTCTGTTGCCATCTTTTCGGCGTTTTTAGGGCTTCCCTCCATGACTGGTTAAGAACTAAATCCCTTGACACTTTTTAACTTTGTAAAAACATCCACGTACAGTCTTCAAGATATTTGTTTATGGTTCTCACCTTCGGGTTTTCGGGTTTCGGGTTTCGGGTTTCGGGTTTCGGGTTTTCGTAATAATAATAATATTATTATTATTATTATTATTATTATTATTATTATTATTATTATTATTATTATTATTATTATTATAATTATAATTATTATTATTATAATAATAATAATAATAATTATTATTATTATTATTATTATTATTATTATTATTATTATTATTATTATTATTATTATTATTATTATTATTATTATTATTATTATTATTATTATTATTATTATTATTATTATTATTATTATTATTATTATTATTATTATTATTATTATTATTATTATTATTATTATTATTATTATTATTATTATTATTATTATTATTATTATTATTATTATTATTATTATTATTATTATAATTATTATTATTATAATTATTATAATTATTATTATAATTATTATTATTATAATTATTATTGTTATTATTATTATTATTATTATTATTATTATTATTATTATTATTATTATTATTATTATTATTATTATTATTATTATTATTATTATTATTATTATTATTATTATTATTATTATTATTATTATTATTATTATTTTTATTATTATTATTATTATTATTATTATTATTATTATTATTATTATTATTATTATTATTATTATTATAAAAAAGCAGACAAATCGGGCGCGGAAGAAGTTCTATTTTTTTTGTACAAGTAGTAACGTAAAGTTGCCTCTAACCATTCACATAGTTGTCGTTGGAAAGATAAACTACTTTATTGGGAGAGGTAATCGATCGGTTAACTAATTTATAAACTAAGCTGATGTTGCTAGTTTTGATAAGAATGGTGTAATTATAGTTTGGTTATTTTGAAGAATATGGATGGTCTTACTCTTTTCAGCGGCATGAAAATTAAAGTTTTCCCCCCTCAAAATTATAAC